TGGGAGACTCTTGGGGATGGAGACCCCTGGGCTGTGAACCTGGCTGAACTGGTGGGTTCTTTGAGGGCAGAACCTCCTAGAGTTGGTGGGGATGGTTTAAGAAGGTTGGGCAAGTCTTGACTGCTCACTTCAGCCTTTAAAGAAACCCTGGAGTTCCCTGGCTGTGTCGTCTCTGACCCCGGAGACAGCGGGGGTCCCTCTGCCGTCCACCCGCCATGTCCTCCTGCTGTTCTGGGGAGCTGAGCTTGCAGCTCTGCCTTGCTTCACGTGCCTCACCGTGTGCTCACTCCTGCCCAGTGGATGTCACCACTCTGGACGTGGAACACACTGGCCACAGCAGGGGCTGGTGTTCCTGGAGGTAGGAGGGCGCCCTGGCGGTGTGGGCCAGAATCCCTGTGCCGTGAGAAGAACCTCATATTGCTGAGTGACGTGGGCACGAGTGAGGCTGGTGTGTGTTCACCCTTAGGCACGTGGTGTTACATGGACGTCCAGTAACGGTGGGGGGAGCTGTGCCAGTGCCGGGCCGTCCCAGCGCTAGGGCTGCGGCAGGGAGCAGAGCCCTTGGCCCAGGAGTGGCTGCATGACCGCAGAGCCAGCTGGGGGTTGGAGAGGGACAGGGGCAGTTTCAGATTCCGTGCTCGGGAAGGCTCTGGCGTGGAGGGGCTCAGTGAAGGGAGGGACCTGCCGTGAGCGCATCTGGAGGGACAGTGAAGGCCACACGACAGGACAGCGTTCGGCCTGTTCAGGCAGTAGCAGGGCTCTCTGTGGCTGGAGCCCACGGTCCTGGGGCTGGGGGGACAGTGGCAGCCGGTGGGCAGCCCGACCACAACTGTGAGAACTGTGGTGAGGACTTTGATTTACCCAAAACCGCTTACCCTGTGTTGGGCAGTTCTCCTGGACGGTTCCAAACTTGAATTTAGGCCCCGCCTTGCCTGTTACTCAGCCTCGCTGAGCTCTGGTTTCCTCCATGTAAGTTGTGATGATGCTGTGAACTCAGGCAGGAACCATGTCCCCTCAGATGGCACATGCAGCTGGCAGCCTGGGGCCAGGATGATTGCCTACCCCTGCCCAGAGCGCCAGGGAACTTACACAGCCATTCCTTGACCCTTCAGGTCGGTGGCCCTGCTCGAGGTCCCTGGGCAGCTCCCAGATTGCCCAGACACACAGATGTCACTATTTTAGGAGCTCCTCCCTGAGCCCCAGCTTCACAAGTTTGCCGTTAGAAGCAGGAGGGGTGCAGGGCTGCCGGGACTTGGGGAGCAGCCTCCAGCCCTGTGATTTTCTTTTTTTGGTGTCAGGATCTCCCAGCGAGTAGAACTCAGCCGGAGGCAGCTGCAGACCATTGGGGAAAGGGTCTCCCTGGCCCAGGCCAAGATTGAGAAGATCAAGGGCAGCAAAAAGGCCATCAAGGTAGCCCACGCGTCCCCGTCCCTGTGGCTGGTGGGCAGTCCGAGAAGCCCCATTCCCTGCCCTCTCCCCGTGCCCCGAGGCAGCCAGGTCCTGCCGCCGCTCCAGCCACACCTGCCGCCCAGAATACCCCCAGCCCCAACCTAGGCTCTCTGGAGCACCTCTGGGCCCCACAGAAGTGAGGTCAGACTCCATGTCCGCAGGTGTTCTCCAGTGCCAAGTACCCCGCCCCGGAGCGCCTGCAGGAGTACGGCTCCATCTTCACGGGTGCCCGGGACCCTGGCCTGCAGATGCGGCCCCGCCGCAGGATCCAGAGCAAGCCCCGCCCCCTGGACGAGCGGGCCCTGCAGGTCTGGGGGTGAACAGAGGCGGCCCTGGACGTTGGGGGGGAACTGAGGGCCTCATAGAGTTTTGTCCCCCAAGAGGATTCTGACTGCAATGGGGCAGAGTCCCTTTGGGCAGATGCCATCACCGTCACTTCCCCTAACCCCCACCCCCAGGAGAAGCTGAAATACTTCCCTGTGTGTGTGAGCACCAGGCCGGAGCCTGAGGACGAGGCCGAGGAGGGGCTGGGGGGTCTTCCCAGCAACATTAGCTCCGTCAGCTCCTTGCTGCTCTTCAACACCACCGAAAACCTGTATGGCCGCGGTAGGGGGCTGTGGAGGGCTGGGTGGAGGCTGGCCTGGCTTAGTGGGCGACCCAGGGGCACCAGGCTCAGGTGCAGCAGAAATCTGCTGCCAGGGAGCCAGGAGGCCCCTGACCCGTTGGTTTTGCCTGGGAGGCCCTGGGAGGCCACAGTACAAATGAATTGTGGCCCCAGTGAAGTGGGAAGCGTGGTCCAGACTGTGGGTCTAGAGCAGAAGCTGGATTGCCTGACCTCTACCCGACTCTGTAGGTACAAAAAGTACGTCTTCCTGGACCCGCTGGCTGGCGCCGTAACAAAGACCCATGTGATGCTGGGGACTGAGACGGAGGAGAAGCTGTTTGATGCTCCTTTGTCCATCAGCAAGAGAGAGCAGCTGGAGCAGCAGGTGGAGAGCAAGCACACGTGGGTTGGGGGGAGGCAAGTCCAGTCCAGGGGCCTGATGAGCCCCTTACCCCACCCAGCTGTGCGTGGGGACGTATGAGCCACTGGCCACCCAAGGACAAACTGTAGGGCCCATTCCTGCACAGCCCCTGACATCCCCCCATCCCACAGGTCCCAGAGAACTACTTCTACGTGCCTGACTTGGGCCAGGTGCCTGAGATCGACGTGCCGTCCTACCTGCCCGACTTGCCGGGCGTAGCTGATGACCTCATGTACAGTGCGGACCTCGGCCCCGGCATCGCCCCATCGGCCCCTGGGCCCATTCCAGAGCTGCCCGCATTCCACACGGAGGTAGCCCAGCCTTTCAAGCCAGGTGAGCTGAGAGCTGGGAACAGAGTTGGGTGGGAGCCCCCCCCTCCCCCAACCCGCTCAGCCACTTTTTTCCCAAGGCACGTCACACCTTTTCACACTCCTGTCTCAGACCTAGAAGATGGGGTGCTCACAGCACCTCCACCGCCGCCACCGCCCCCGCCCCTCCCCCAGCTCCGGCAGTGCTGGTCAGCGCTCCCCCACCTCCACCTCCACCGCAGACCGCGGCCCCTCCAGGACAAGCCACCAGGGAGGAAGACAGCAGCAGCCTGTCTCCTTCAGGTACAAGCAGTACTGGGGTGGGGCGTGTGGGGATTTGCTCTTTGAGGACACCTCTTGATTTCTGGATCCCTAAAGGAGGTCCAGACTGTAGGTCCCTTTCTGTAGGTTGGCTAAGTGGTCATAAATTTTAGATTTTCAGAATAGTTCTTATTTCAAAATCTTGTTCCACTGGGTTCATGAAATAGTGGTTTCAAACCATGTGGCACCCTAGAATTCTAAGCTCGAGGGAAGTGGGAGCCTGGGTGCCCGGTTCCTACTTAAACCAGTGGGAAAAGGGGTTACCAAGAAAAACAGAAAACTACAACAACACAGTATCTGTGTCTCTCAAACTCAGACTTGGTTTTATTAGTATGTCTCCCAGGCCATCTCCGGCGCCCAGAAGTGGCACAAAAATCCCTTGTTGGCCCGTGTCAGGTTCAGTCAGCCAGCATGTGGGTAATTCTCTGGGTCCACCGGAATAGCGTGGCACCAAGAACGGGTGGGGTTGGTGGGGCTGGGCTGCTGGACATGTGGCTTTCTGGGCATCCAGACCCGGGACGGCCTCCTGTCTCCCGAGGTGCCGCTTCGCCAGCTGCCTCCTCCCCGGAACCTTAGGCTGGGCCAGCCCACAGCCCGGCCCCGTCTGAGCGGCCTTTCTTCCTCGCCCCTTCCCACCCCGGCCCCAGTCCAGGGAGCGCCCAAGGAAGTGGTTGACCCCTCCAGTGGCCGGGCCACTCTGCTGGAGTCCATCCGCCAGGCCGGCGGCATCGGCAAGGCCAAGCTGCGCAGCGTCAAGGAGCGCAAGCTGGAGAAGAAGAAGCAGAAGGAGCAGGAGCAAGGTGGGGCGCCCCCGTCCCCAGCGGCCCTCCCCTCTGCTCCTCCCTGGCTTGGCGTCTGCTTGCTGGAACTGTCCTCCCTCAGCCCCGCTCAAACGAGAGCCTTCTTAGTGGACTCTGCCGGTTGTCCGAGGAAATGGTCGAGGACCTGGGTATTTTTCGAGGGACACCTGGCTCAGTCCTGCTTCTCTGAGCCTCTGAATTACATCAGCTGTGAATCCCCAACGCTGGCACAGATGCCACATCTGGGCCTAACACAGCACCGCCCTGGGCGTCCAGTCCCGAGTCTGAGCCCCAGCTCTGCTTCTGGGCTTTGCGCGGTGACCCCAGGCAAACTGCCTGATCCCGCTGGGCTGAATGCTTTGTCCAGCCAGTGGGGCTGCTCTGTGCCCCTTGTCTTGAAGAGTTCAGCTGTTTTCTTATTAGTGCTGAGACCAAAACCCCAAGATCTGTGGTGACCCGGTGGCCGTGGACGGGCCGGTGTGTTGACAGAATGGAGAATAAAGCGCCTGAACCTGAGGGTGTTACACAGGCTGCCCCTGGTCAACCTCGGCCCCATCATCTCCCCCTGGCTTTCCTGTTGCAGTGAGAGCCACCAGCCAAGGTGGGGACCTGATGTCTGATCTCTTCAACAAGCTGGCCATGAGGCGCAAAGGTAGGAGGGATCTCTGCAGGGGCTGGGTGGACTGGTGCCCCACACCAGCCCCTCACTCCCCACCTCTGCCCTCCCAGGTATCTCCGGGAAAGGACCTGGGCCGGGGGCCAGCGAGGGGCCGGGAGGAGCCTTTGCCCGAATGTCAGACTCCATCCCACCTCTGCCACCCCCACAGCAGCCCCCGGGAGAGGAGGATGAGGACGACTGGGAGTCCTAGGGGCTCGCCTTCCCCTTCTCCCGAATCGCAGGACAGCCAGACGGGCCCCTTGGAGGGACAGGGTTGTGGAGGGCTATCCTGCTCTGTTGCCCGGACCTCCTTCAGGGAGCAGGGAGGCTGTCTTCCAAGGCCGAAGAAGGGGGTACTGTTACTCTCTGTGCTCTGCCCCGCCCCAGAGAGAGGTGGAGGTAAAGCAGCTCGAATCAATAAAGACAGATGATGCAGGAACTGGGTGTAAGCCAGCAGTGCGCCTTTAACTAAGAAGCCCTACCGTGCGGAACACAGACGCCCCTCCGCTGCGGCCTGTCCCGCTCCCGCTGCTCTCAGCTGGGGGGACTAGGGCGGGAGAGGTGCAGTCAGCAAGGGCAGACGGAGGAGGTGTATCTGCACCCAGGAAAACACATCTCAGTGACAGACTCGGTTTCTCTAAAAATAGCCTTGCTGAGCGCCTAATGGCCCTCGGTGTAATTGCTGATGTCAGCGGGGAAGGTGTCTCGGAGCTGCTCAAGCAGCTGAGAGGGAGGAGGGTACCGCTGGCTTGGAGGACCTGGAGCCATGCCAGGGAGCTGGCGGGCCGGGAGCAGGCAGGTCCTAACGACTTGGGGGAGGAGGGTGGCTGAGGTGACCAGGAGAGGGTGGAGAAGGGGGACGTTCTTCATCTCCAGGAGGGGGTGAAGGGTTGAGAGCAGCTAATTTTAGTGAGAAAGGGAGAGACAGGAAGGGCCTGCTCCGTGTCCCCTTTAAGAAGGTGACACTGAGAAACAAGGGCTGGGATGCTGCAGCCTGTGCAGCTGTCACAAAGGCCGGCCGGGATTCCGTGCAGCGAGCTGGATGCTGGGCCACGCTGAGGCGGGACAGACCCGGGCCCCGGGAGGGCAGTGCCGGGCTATGGGACGGGTCTAGGGGGGCCGGGCCCGCTGTTTCTGCAGGATCAGCCTCACTTCCTCCTGTTGGCTTTCATCTTCTTAGGCAGGATGCCTGCAGACCAGGCCCCAGACGGACACCATCTCAAGTGGGCAGGCTGACGGAAGGGCCAGACTTCTCACGATGGAACTGGGGAGAGGGGAGGACAGTGAGACGCCAGCTTGGGGTGTGGGCGGTTCTCAGGGAAAGAGAAAGGCAGGACTGACCGTCCGCAAAGCAGCAAAGGCAGGGCCAAAGGTGGCTTTGACCTGCACGCGGTCGCGGATCCAGGCCGGCAGCTTTGCCAGGACAGGTGGGCGGGCGTACCGGTGGTCCAGGAGCACTATGCTGGCAAAGTCCTTCTGGTGCCTGATGGCCCGGCCTGGGCGGGAACAGGGGCTGGGGCTGAGTTAAACCTGCCTCCCCCACGTGTGTTTCTACTGGGTCTCCTCCCTTTGCTCAGCCCTTGGGTTGGAGGTGGCAGGTAAACCCCTCTTTCCTGTCACCTCTCCAACCATCCAGGCCCGACTCTCCATCTCACCAGCCAGGAACAGCCCCAGCTCACCGATGGACTGGTTGACGGCCTTCATACACAGATTCTCCACCAGCGCCTTCCCGGGGGGTGCCTGGCCTGGGGCTCTGGGCTGGGAAGGGCAAAGGGGACAGCCATCAGGGTTGTTTCCTGCCTCCTGCCTAGTGTTTCCTGTGACAGTGACATGGCCAGGCTTCAGAGTGAGACCCGGGGCCTCCTGGGCACAGTGCCAGCAGCCAGTAAAACAGGTGGCGGCAGGGAGCAGCTCAAGAGGGCGTGGAGACGTGTCCCCTCCTCTGGAGCACGCTGGCGACAGCGGCTCCCGGCAAGGGGCAGTGGGGAGCCACAGCTGTGGGCGCCCTCTCCTCGTCCTCTGGAGCCCTGGAGGTACTCACGAGGGTCTGGTCCAGGTAGGCCATCTTCTCCTGCAGCTCTGGAGACCTGATGTTGGGGTAGGGCATGCCCACCATGACCACACACCTGGAGCGGAAGCACAGGTGAGCCGTGGTGTGTGGGTGGTCCTCACACCTCCCTCAGCCTCTCCCCTCATCCCTACCACCTGGAGAGGGTTTTCTCAGCTAAGACATCCAGTCTAGACCAAGAATTGAGTCCTGATAAAGTCAGGGTCTGCCTAATTTTCTATCTGGCCCCAAAGGGCCAGATCCAGAGCTGTCAAATCAGTGCCCTGCACAGATGACTGACCTGAGCGATCAGCGCAGACACAGACTCAGAAGGCAGAGGCTGCAGCTGCCTGGAGCAAGGGGTGGGTGACACCAGAGCCCCGGGAGATGAGAAGCCCCCTACTCACCGGCCGAGGTTGTCAGAGAAGTTGATGCCTTCACTCATCTTCCCTCCAACCACAGACAGCAGCAGGGCCCCCGTCACCATGCCCCCCACCTGGCTGCAGCGCTGCAGGAAACAGCCCCAGAGTTGCAGAGCCAGAGCGCGGGTGCCGCCCCAAACATCTTCAGCTGCCAACCCCACATGCTCTCTGGACCCAAGGCCTCGGAGTTGCACCTCTCACCTTAATGCACCTGGAATACTCCATCAGCACCTGCTCCACCTGGTTTGCTCTCTTGGGCTCCTGAAATATCTGAAGGTAAACAGATAATGTCTCCCAGGAAAGGGTTTCAGTGTGCCTGGGTCTTGGGTCTGCTCTTGGCCATACGTCTGCCAGACTGGGGACGCCCATGGAGTCAGCAGCTTTGGGGAGTTCCTCTGGAGGGTTATCAGGGATCAGAAGTGGTGGGCAAGGACTCAAAGAAGCCCCCCAACAGGTTCGATGTGCACGAGACACCCCAGAAGAACTCGGTACCACTGTCCTCATGAGTGGGAGGTCCAGCTGAAGACTTGCTCACCCTTTTCCTGACAGCCAGGCGGGCCAGCAGGCCACTCTTGTCCCAGTGGGCGTGGACCTGGCGCTGGTACTCATAGGAGGGGAAGAAACAGACCACCCCTCCTGGGACCACGTTGCACAGGTTACAGAGAATGCGTCCCGTCTCATCCATCTGTGGGAGACAAGGAGCCCTCCATGGAGCCACTGCCAAGGCCCCAACCCTAAACAGCTCCAAACCAAGTAGAGGGACCCACGGGTGACTCCGGTCAGGGAAGGGGACCACAGCCAGGTGGCTTCCCCAGGGTGGAGTGTACCCCTCCTGGCAGCGTCTCTGACACGCCACTGTGCTCACACACCAGAGCTAAACCCACTAAGGAGATGCCGCTGAGTCTGTCCTCCTCCAGCTCCCAACGTCCCCACGGGCAATCGGGGATGCAGCACCATCTGTGACAAATCTGGCACTGAGAACACCAGGGGCGCCACGAGAGTCGTGCCCCCAGTGCCCGCATCCCTGCCAGGCGGGAGCCGATGGAGCCGAACAGCGAGAGGACACCTTCCCAGGAGCTTTATCCTGAAGGAAGCTCACAGAGCAGCTGGAGGGGTGAGCATGGGGGCGGCTCCGACCTCGGTAACATCCGAATATGGTCTGTCCGGTGCTAGCAGTGATGGGAGGCCCCGGTGTCAACTCCCCCAGTGCCTGAAGGCCCAGGAGTGGCCAGAGTGCCTGCTCTCAGCCCCAGTCTGTCTCCTGCCCTGGCAAAAGCAGCATTAAGGCCAGATGGCTGGTACCAACCATGTGAGGTAGCTCTCTCTTCTGGTACGTGAAGTCCAGCTGCTGGCTGGAGGGCCCGCTGCAGACGACGAGGGGCAGGATGTTGTCTGGAGGGATCACGTGACCTGGCGAGACCCAGTGGGGCTGGAGTCCAGAAGGAGCGCCCCCACCCTTCAGACCAGGAACAGCCATTCATAGCACCCACCCTCTACCCATTTCCAGAGGACCCAGTGGGCAATGCTCAGGCCTCTCCGTACAGGTGGGGCAGGGGACAAGCACGAGAGCCTGGCGACGGGAAGCTGGCAGAGGACATGTCTCCCCCTTGTGGCCTCAGCCCCTGGCCTGATGATGGCCTATGGCTGAACCATGACAAGAGGCCATGATGCCAAGTGCGGCCCCCGCTCTGGGCATGGGTCCTCACCACAGGAGAACTCCACCACTCGCTCAGCCTCCACCCCGGCACACGCCAGCAGCTGCTCCCGGAAGTCGGACACCTGCAGGCCACAAGGGCAGCTGTCATCTCCCAGGGACCAGGCACAGGGCAGGGAAGACGAAGTCTGGCCTGGGAGGTGGCAAGGACTCGAGAACAGAAAAAAGAGGTAAAAGGAAAGGCTCGTGACAAATTAGCTGAAAGAAAAAAAATAATATCCAGTGTTGGCAGCCTCTAAACCGCCCACGGGAACCGCCTCTGGGAACACAGAGGTTCTCAGCGCAGGCTGTGCAACAGAATCACCACTTAGACTTTTTAAAAAATGATGATCAGGCCCCAGCACAAACTACTGAATGAGAATCTCTAGTGGGAAGACGTATATGCTTTCGTATTTTTAAAGCGCTCCAGGGTTTTCACCTATCAAGCTGGCAAAAGTTCCAAAGTTTGACCAGCCTGTGGAGAAACAGGCATTCTTACAGGTTGCTGGTGGGCTACGGAACAGTACAGCTCCTGTGGGAGGGGACCTGACAACGTTTAACAAATGAGACATATTTTAACTGTTGAACCTACAACCCCCTCCCTGAAGTACAGCTCCACAAATCAAGTGTTGTCTGCACGAGGATGGTTCTGGAAGTGATTTGTAACAGTCTGTGTTCCAAGAGGGGCTGGCTGAACAAGCTGTCCTGCACCCACCCCGTGGAGAACCACGCAGCCAGCAGAAGGGACACAGACAACCCTGCGGACTGAGAAGGCATGGTGGCCAGAACACACCTGTAAGTCAAAACTGATTACGCTACCTTGGATGGAAATAAACAAGGAAAGGAAAAAGAAACCTTACTTGCTTATCTTTGCAAAAAAAAAGAAAATACAGCGGAACACTGGCAGGAGAGACTGGCAGCTAAAAAAATGGTTACCTATGGGAATGGGGAATAGGCCAGAGAGGGGTGCAAAGGGAGGCCCCTGAATGTCGTGTCACACTTTTGACCTTTGACCCATACAGATGGTGACCTGTTTTTAAAACTAATTAGGAAAGTAAGAAGGCGAACTGTAAAACTGAAACAAAGCCTAGCTGCCTGTCGGACTCAGGACACATCCGCACAGAAAGGCTTGAGTGACTGCAGGTCCCTGGTGTGTTAAGGGCAAAACATAAATGCACGTAAGCAAATTCAATCAGCACTTGGTTCAAATACTGGTGTAACCCTCAAACTGTTCTAGGTGTATGTGGGCTAGAGCAGGTAAGTAGTATGTTAATGTAATAAGAAACCAAACTGCAGCTTGAGAGATACCGTGGGAGGTCACCTGAAATGACTGATTTTCGTATAGAAATAGCACTGTGAATTCATGATTTCCGAGAGCTATTTCCTAGGCCTGTCCACTGAAATAGCCTACGAGTGCTGGCGTCCCGGGAGCACTGTGAACGTCCCCAGCTCCCGGATGTTGGGCTAAGTACTAACCCCATCCGGAGAAACCAGGGCACCCCGGAGGAATGAACGACTCCAGGCCTGGGGCAAGGTGAGCCTGGGACTTTTTTTGTGCTGAGAGCAGGGTAGTGTCAAAGGGACCAGAGCAGCATGAGGGGCTCCCATAGGCCAAGTCTGAGGCCTCTGAGCATCAAAAACAACAACTATAAATGATTTTAATACACAAGTGAATAAAAATCTGTCTACACACCAGAAAAGTGGGGAAAACCACAGCTACAGAGGTGATTCCAACAGGCTAGGAAACACCGACGGGTCCGGAGGGGTGAAGAGCCGTAAATCCTGTCCTTAGATACACTCAAGGGGTAACCTAGCTGCAGAGACGGTGTGTAGCCCCCCAGAAACACCAGAGCAGCGGCAGTGCCCACCCCTCCCCACCCCTGGACCCCGGGGCCCCCAGGCAGGTGGAAAGGCCCCAGCAGCGAGACAGTACAGCAGCGCCACCTGGTGGTTACTGCTTGGCCGGCGCAAACCAACCCCTTTCTGGTTGTGGGACCTGAAGCATCCTTCCCACCCCGTCTCCATCCCACACCTGGGGCACGAAGCTGGGCCGTGTCCTTACCGGCTGCATGGTGCCCCCCGCAATGACCACTGCCCGGCACTCCTTCACCACCTGGGCGAAATGCATGGCTGGGTTCAGGAGCAAGAATTTGAGGCTGCTCTGACTGAGGCTGCCTGGAAAAAGACAAAAGACAGCTACACGGAGGGGATGGTGCAGGCCCAACGAGACGTCACCTGGGGCAAACGGGCTGTCCAGACGGGTCCACGTAGGAGCCACAGAAATACCACATTCTCTTTAGATCAGAACTTCATCTCTAAGAGGGCCCTGAGGTAGGTGGCACCCTCCTCTCCCTTTTCACACCAGGAACGGAAGTTTGGGGGGAAACTGGTCCAAGTCATGCAGCTCGCAGGTGATGGGACCACAGCTGAAGTGAAGCCCACCTGACCTCAGTGCTGGGCCATGTGGCTCCTCCTGTGAGCGCGCCCAGAGAACCCGGCTCCCAGCCCCTCTGTGCCCTTGCACCACCACCACCGCCTACATAGGTCTCAGGCAGCCAGTTTTCACCCATTTCCACGTCCCAACCCAGCCAGGTGCCGCATGGGAGTGAAGGAGCCCGGCTCCGGGCTGGTTCCTCCTGGGGTTACCTTGGCGGCTCAGGATGACCCTCCCGTCCTGGTTGGCAGTGGTGAGAGCCGCGAGGAAGCCTTCGATGTGCATCAGTGGGGAAGCAAGCCGTGGCGCCCCGTCCTCTCCTTCTGCTGCGGGGGCTGCAGGAGCTGCAAAGAGCAGAAGGGAGAGGGTCTGGGAGCCGGGACAGGGGGCGGGGTCTCCCTGTGGCCGGGCTGCACCCCAGGTCCCTCCTGACTCACCCTTGGTCCCCGGGGGCTGCAGGCTCTGCAGGAAGTGCTGGAAGCCAGACAGCCTGGGCTGCTCCCTGGAGGGCGTGAGGACCGCTCCGTACCTCTCCGTGAAGCCAAGGAGCTGGGACAGGAGAGAGCAGTGGCTGTGAGAGGGGACAGCCTGGAACCGACCCCGCCAGCAGGTATCTGGGCCCCCTGCCGGCCCCAGGCCAGCCGCCCAACAGGAAGAACGGAGACCCAGGGGCCCCAGGTCCCCCGCAGGATGGGGCGGAAAGGCACGGGGAGGGAGCAGTACCTTCCTGCTGATCATGCTCCTCTCACAGTAGCGCCGCACCTGCGAAACCAAACCCGGATGTGGGCCCTGGGGAAGCCTGCCCACCTCCCAAACCTCCCGGGCGCCTGAAGCCCCCGTGGCCGTGCCAGCCTCCTTCCAGAGGCCCCTCCTCTGCTGTGCCCCCACCACACACGCATACGCGCACACACACGGGGCCCTCCCCTCTCTAAAGGTGCTTGATGATGGCCACGTCCCCTCCACTTTCCTTCAACGTGACGGCTAAGCTGGACCTTGAAGATTAAGAGGGGGTTTTAGAAAATCCCACGAGCAAAGGAGGGAGGACCAAGGCTTGTTCCGGAGCACGTGGAGGAGCCTGGCTGTGTGCATAGCAAGAGCCTGGAGAGCAAGGCGCAGGGTGTGGGGCCCCTGAAGCTTCACTGGACTGTGGTTTGTAAAAGACATGAGAGGGGAGAGATGGGAGCAAGGAGAACAGGAAGGACCAGAGGAGAGCCAGCACTAGGGCAGCAGCGCGGGAACGAGAAGGGGGATCAACACAAGAGGGGTTCTCGGGGCCTGGCAGCCGCGTGGATACAAGCGGAGCCGGGGGAGGAAGGAATCAGAGGCCACTCGGACTGCGGCCACCACCGGGCCGGGGCCCGGCGGGTGTGAAGGAAGGCGAGCGGGCCGCCTTCCTGAGCTGAGAAGCCCAATGTCCCTGGCTCCTGAATGACATGGTCCCTCCCAACCTGGAGTCACGGGGCCTGCGCTGCCGGGGACACAGGTGCTGCTCTGTGTGGTTAGTAAACCAGGCTCACAGAGGGTGTCAGTCAAGCACCAGGGCCTGCGCATCTAGAGGGAGCAAAGATGGGAGGCTGGGGTCGCACCCAGGCTGGAGGGTGAGGATAGGGGGCCAGGCCAAGCTGAGTTCTCACCCACCTCGGCCCCACGGCAGGATCAGGCCCACCAAGCAGTCCCTGTCCCACACAGAGCCCAGGGGAAGGTGGTGCCAGGGAGACCTGCAGTGTCTGAGCCCGTCATGTCCGGGGAGAGGCACCACCTGTGACCCATCAACCCGCCTGCTCACACGCAGCTGTGTTTAAGGGTGAATCATGTCCACCTACGTGGGGGACCTCAGACCTCAGACCTCAGACCGCTTTGAGAACAGACGGAATTTACTTTTTGTTCCTTCCCTGGTCTTGACACAGCGTCCTTGGGGGAAGGACCGTGGACACCTCCACATAGAGTTGAGCACCCCTACCTTGAACAGGTTGATGTTGTCGACCTGGCTCTGGAAGAGAAAGTCGTTGATGGTCTTCAGCTCCGTCCCTGCAGACAGATAAGTGAAGGGCCCTGGAGTCCTTGCCCCGAGGCCACAGCTGTCAGGTCCCTGAGGGATGCTCAGCAATGGCTCCGTCCAGCTCTTACCTGCCTGCAAGAGGCTCTGGGTATTGGGGTTCTGCTTAATGTTGCCTAAAAAAGAGAATCCAACAGGTCAGGACAGTGGGCCTCTGGCCCCCACCTTCTCACTCTGCTCTGCACTTTTTGAGTGGGAACACTCCCAGCTGAAGGAGTCTCTGGCCATTCACAGCACCCAAAGGACAGGGTGGAGAGAGCAGGGGGTTCCGGGGGCCTCAGGGTCTGACCCTGTGTTTGCAAATGCAGCCCAAGCCTGGCCACATCATCCTTTCCGCACCTCCGAGAAGGAGGCAGGGACGGGGTTACCCACTCCACACAGCGCCAGCAGGAGATGCCTGGGCTGCGAGGTGACCAGCACAGACGAGGTGAAGGGCGCCAGTGCAAGGTCCCTCCAGAGACCCCCGCTGCCACTCTGCACTTCAGCTCCCATAAAAGCCTGCAGGGGGGCTGCCACACTCAAGGGAAGGGCGTGTGACCTGGAACTATGCTAAGAAGGAAGGACCCGGAGCCAGACTCCAGTCCCCGCGTGGGGCTCACCCAGCAGAGCAGGCCCCGCCTCTGCTCCGAGCCCCAGCTCACCCGCCTGAGGTTCCCACCCCGAGTCCCCACACCGCTACAGAAGACGCCACCCGCACGTCTACAGAACAGTGTGTTAGGACCACCACCACCTGTGGAGTAAGGCCTGGCAAAATAAAAGGGACTTGGAACCGGGGCAAATACACCAGGGTTTTGAAAAAAGATGCAAGGTCAGACCAATAACAATTTTCCAAACCGGTGGCCAAGGCAGTTCCTGAGAGACGGAGAGCCCGGGGTCCTGGCAGGCACCTGGGGAGACTCCTTACCGCCCAGCACGGTCACGAACTTCTCCAACAGGTACAGGATCTGTTTGACGTACATCAGGTTCTTGGCCTTCAAGCGCTTCCTGGGGAGGAGCCAATGGACGTCACGGCGGTGGGAGAACCCAATAAACGTGCCGTCCCCGACATCCCCCCGGGACCCCGAGCTGAGGCCCTCCTGTCTGCTGCCTTTCTGGCTGGGACATGAGCTACACATTCTCTCGCATTAGAAAGGCTGGCCATGGCCTAAGGCCTCCAAGGCCAACTGCTAAGTCCCGAGACCCCTGGCCTTCGTGGGGCACGTGCCACAACGAACCAGAGCTAAAGGGCACCCGCAAGGGGTCTGGGCCCGAGACCGCCCCCAGGGCGCCGAGGCTGAGCAGGGCCTTCCCTCCCCTCAGGAGGCGAGTCTCACCCGTATCGTTCCATGTACTGGAGCAACTGGGAATGGGCCTGGCAGAGCTGTGAGAGAAGAGAGAATGGTGTGACGGACAACGGGGCTCTGGGCAAGCAGCCTGGGGCCGGGCAGCAACATCCCAGAGATGCCTGCCATCAGGGTGAAGGGCGGGTTCTCGAGGCCCTCAGGCTGGTGGGAGCTGAGAGGGGCGGGAAGGCAGGTTCTGCTGTGTGCCCACTGTGGGTTGGGGAAAAAAGTGACTCTCAGGTAATGAACGCCCCCACCCATTTTCTCTAGGTTGGGAAAGATGTGCTGTCTGCTAAGTGATGGTTCAAAGCAACCGTCACATCCTGGCCTGAGGTCAGCCCGGCACTGGACCATCGAGGGTCAGAAATCAGTGGTCAGATCCTGGCTCCACGTGTATGCTGGCTGGGTGACATCAGGCACAGTGCTTAAACCTCTGACCTCTGCGTCCGGCCCGCTGCAGCGTCGGCGTGAAGATCAGAGGCCCCGCACGTGGTGCAGGCACAGTGGGCAGAAGTCAGCAGTGGTTTCCCGAGGCCACGAGCACCCCTCAAAGCAGCACCGACAGAAGCACCACCCAACCGCATGACCACCTCTGCCTGTCATCCCACCACCACGCTCTGGAGACCGCATTAGTGGCACGCTGGGCTGGAGGGACTCGGGGTGACACAGGCTGGAGAAGAACCAGAGGCTTGCCCACTGTCGGGCGGGCCCCCAGGCCCAGGTCCTGCTGGGGAGCCAGTCAGCATCTGACGGGCCGTGGGCCCTGTGCCCGACCCACCTGGGAGCCGCTGACCTCCACACTGTGGACGCCGGTGATGGTGTCTATCAGGTTGTGGGCCTCGTCGATGACCACCACCTGGCCCTGCAGCCGGACGCCCGCCGCCTGCCGCGTGGCCGCGTGCAGCAGCGTCTGGTAGGGCAGCACCACCAGCTGGGAGAGGGAGAGGCGGCCTGAGTGGCGGCGGTGGGGCCCCTCCCACCCCCAGCCAGGGTGTGAACGGTCCCACTTCCGGCCAGGAATTCGTGTTCAGGAGACAAAGCTACAGCCACGCATTGTGCTTTCAGCACCGAGTTCTAGGGGGGACGTCAGACACATGAAACAGATGACACTGGAACTGATGGGACTTTTGACTGAACCGAGGGTGGAACAGGGGAGGGCGAGGGGCAGGCCTGGGCCCTGCTGCTGAGCCCCGTCTGCCCCCAGGACAGCCCAAAGCACCAAGTTTCTTCAGAACACTCTGGAAAGCACTGGTGGGCCAGAAAGCAGCCCTGGGTTCTGGTCCCGGGGCCGCCACTGCCCAGCTGTGCGACCCTGGGCAGGTCAACCTCTGGCCCTCGGTTTCCTCATCTGCAAAATGGGCTTGACAACCTCTGTCTCAAATGAGGTTAAGGGATAGGGTGGTGGTAACAAAAGTAAAAGTTCTCTCTAGATTTCTTAGGTGCTATGTTGTTACCACAGTTTTCCTGTTAAAAGGACACTGACAGAGTGAAAATCCAAAAAACTAGAACCTTATGGCCAGGTTTTAATACTGGCTCCGTATCTCATCTGCTGTGAGAAAATGGATGAACCACTTAACCTTCTGGGCCCCAGGTGTCCTCACGTGTAGAATGTAAGTGACACCTGCGCCAGCCCTTCAGCAGGCTATTGTAAAAGAACGAGGGAAAAAGTGCCTTAAAAGTTGAGATCATCAAAGTTTCGGGACATCTTACTGTTCTGCCACACAAGTGCCCACTGACCCCAGGAGGGCAGGGGGCAACTGTGGGGCTGGGGTTTTCCCAGCCCCCCGGGAGGTGCCACACTGCGCCAGGGCAGCACGCCGACCAGCGCCCGCCCACCAGGCACAAGGGGCACTAACACAGCTCCCTGCACCTTTAACTTCTGTCAGCCTTCTCTTGATCATACAAAATTCTCCACGAGTGACATCACCTTCCCAGCTGTCATTCACATTAAGGAAGCAGCAAGGAAACAGTTAAATCATACCCAGTGACAACGACATCACTGTGCACACTTGACTCAGCAAGTCTACAGAAGGCGGCTCCCACGGGCGCTGAGGGCGCCGCGCACTCCGGGCGCATGTGGAGGTTTCTGTGAGCTCTGCATCTCCCTGTGGGCCTCCTCCCACCTTCTGCCCCGGCGTTTCCCGCTGTGGCTTCACTAGGAATGCACCCATCCCTCATGATAATGTCAACTGTCCCTGCAGCCCAGGGCCACCAAGGGCCCCTCCAACACTACAGACCTGGAGAGACTGACTGACGCGTCATCGGGGGTGGTGTGTCAGGCGGTCCCACCACGGCCGGTGACACCCTCCTGAATTAAGAGTGAGAACGCCCTCCTAGGCACACTCAGAGCCTAGAGCCACGGCCCTACCTCCGGGTCCTCACCTGCGCTGCAGGAATGGCGAGCCGGCTCCCGTAGTAGGGACAGGCCCGAGCCTCCCTCCCCAGGGTCACCAGCTGCTCGATGTCCTTCACCTCCAGCAGGACCTCGTCCCGGAGGAGCTGCAGCCGCTCGTGGCTGTAGAAGGGGCAGGTGGCTTGCTGCCGCCGCCGCCGCCGCCTCCCGGCCGCCGCCTCCTCCTCCTCGGGGATGCCATTCCTCTCTGAGGGGCGCAGGGGCAAAGGCAGAAAGAGCAACAACTGTCCGGGGCCGGGAGCAGGTTTGGAACATCCAGACCCGCATCCCAGAACTGCTGCTTCGGTCTCATGGTAACATCTGGCATTTTACTTTGTCTTCTTGAGAAAAAGCCTGTAAAATCGCCTCACAGCCGAAGCTTCAGACTAGACTCGGACTAGAAGGCAGAAGCCCTTCCACACAGGGCTCTTTAGGACGGAAGCAGGGTTCCCCGTGTCCCCGCCACTCCCACCGGCCCTCCCCGCCGGGGCGCCCAGCTCGGGGCGGCGGCTACCGTGTCTGCTCCTCTGCATCTCTGCACAGCGGTCATTGATGAGCTGCACGGAGCCCAGCCCTCTCACCTCCTCGTTCACACAAAGGCTCTGCAAGACAGAGGACGGAGGAGAGACATGCTGACAGCAAGCCTGGGGCTCCCGTCTCCCTCCAGGCCAGCAGGCCGGAGGGGCCGCCCTGCCCTGTGCAGCCTGCTGGGCCCCGCGTCTTTCCAAGGCGGCACCAGGGCCCAGACACCTGCTCACCTGCCGGGAGCCGAGGCAGACGAGCCGGGTGTCCTTGCCGAAGGGGCTCTTCTGCACCTCGTGCACAAACTGTGCCAGCTGGGAGTGCGTCCGACTGCAGTAGTAAATCTGCTTGGGAAAGGGGGGTTCAGGGAGGGGACCGTGACACCCCAGCATTCTCCACAGCAAGGAGCCAGGGACTGAGAGGCCCTATTCACAGACCTGAAGCAGGTGACCACCCACAGCAGCCTCAGGGAGGCCCAGGCCCGGTCCCAGGGTCCCCACCCCACAGGATGGCCTCCCACTCCCCTAGTCACGCTCAGCTTCTGATCTGGAGCCTGGGGGGCTCGGCCACCTTAGGAAAGGGAGTCCCCCTCAGTGCAGATTCCTGACGTGGAAAGAAGGCCCAGAGTCTGGGGGTGGGGGGAGGGTCACCCCCCCAGGGCCTGGAGGATGGGCTGGCCGTCAGACAGGAGGAGGCAGAGCTGAACTCTCTCTCTGCTCTCCTCCAAGATTTAGGAGAGCGAGGAGAGGCAAGGAGGAAAATGGGGGAGAACATCGCATTTCAACAGAGAAAACCAGGTTTTCCGTGCGTGAAAGCTGAGCAGGGTCAGAACCACGCACACCTCGAAGCACCCTGTGCAAATACAGTCACACCGACGAGGGGGCCTGCACCGAGGGCCGAGCGCAGGGCACCCCGTCCCCCGCCTCCCACCACCCCAGGCGGAGGGCAGCTGCCGGGGGCCTTGGCCGGAGGCTGTCCCCGATGCCCGGGGGTGCAGGAGTCTCCCTGGTGCCCAGCCCACCTGCCTAGGGAGCACCTGGGGACTAAGCGGGGTCGGGGCTGGAGACACAGCCCCAAGCCCCCACCACCTCCCCGGGTGAGAGCCCTCGACACAGCAGACGACCCCGGACGTGGCATCTCACCTTGGTTACATGTTCTTCCTCCAAGTCATCCTCATCCTCGTCTGCTCTGAGAGAAGGAAAAACACACATGCACAGAAAGTATCTTCTCAGGCTTTTGCTTTTTGTTTTTGCTCCCCAAGAAATTCTATTTTTTTTTAAAGGCAGAAATGCTTATTGCCTTGGGCTCTGAGAGGAGTAAAGAACTGTCCAGGCAGCTGTGTGAAAGGCCTGGATTCAAGTCACACACCACGTGGTGCCCAAGTCAGCAGGACCGCATAAGGTGACCCTGTGTTCAGAGCCAGCAGGTGTGTCCCCAGAGGCCGGGGCACGGGGAGCCTTAGAAGCTAACCTGCAAGATTAGCCGAGGCCCGGACCCCAAACGGCACTTTTTCCCTGAACATTCACAGACTCCACTCAAGTTCTCCACTCACGTTGTCCCCAAGGGGCCCAGGGGAGGAGTGGGACGTGCGAGCGAGTGGGGATCTCAGCCCTGAGCCGGGTCACAAGTCTTAACGCGGCTCCTGAACCCGTGCCTCGAGGCAGGCCTCTGAGCACTCACGCGGGCAAGACCAGGCCCTGAAGGTTTCACGGGGAATTCAACCACGTTTAAAGAAATCATGCCGATCCTTCTCAAACTCTTCCAAAACACTGAAAAGGCGGGAACACTCCCAAACTCATTTCACAAGGCCAGCACTGCTTATACCAAAGCCGATAAGGACACCACAAGGAAGCTACAGGCCAGTATCCCGCTGAAGAAAGATGCGAAAATTCTCAACGAAACAGCAGCAAACCCAATTGAACAGCACACTGAAAGGATCATAGTCCACGATCAAGTGGGGTTTATCCCTGGGACACAGGACGGTTCAACATAAGCAAATCAATAAATGTGAATAAACCACATAAACAGAATGGAAGTTAAAAACCACATGATCATTTCAATAGATGCAGAAAAAGCGTTAGACAAAATCCAACAAGTTCTCATGATAAAAACTCTCAACAAAGTGGGTTTAGAGGAAACGCAGTGAAGGTGAAAGATCTACACGCTGAGAATTCCAAGATCTTGATGAAAGAAACTGAAAACACAAACAAATGGGAAGCAATCCCGTTTATGAGTGAGAATTACTGCTGCTAAAACGCCTGTGCTACCAAAAGCCGTCTCTAGGACCCGTGCAGTCCCTACCAAGTTTCCAGATAGAAAAAACAATCCTAAAAATCATACAGAACCATTAAAGACCCCGAACAGCCAGAACAGTCTTGAGAGGAAGAACAAAGCGGGAGCATCAGCACTTTCAAACTGTATTATAAAGCTGTGGGGATCAAAACAGAGCAACACGGGCGTAGAAGCAGACACACAGCCCGACGAGCACAAGTCAGGGCTGAGAAGCAAACCCCTGCGCTCACAGGCACCAGCACTCGACAAGGGGGCCGAGAACACTCAGCGCAGAGAAGACGGTCTCTCCAGTGCACGCTGCTGGGAGAAGCTGGATCTTCACATGCACGAGAATGAGACTAGACCCCTGTCTTACACCACTGGCAGGTCAACTCAAAATGGATTAAGGATTTAAACCTAAGACCTGAAACCATAAAACTCCTAGAAGAAAACATAAGGAAACAGCGCAGCATTGGTGTTGGCAGTGATTTCTTGGATATGATGCTAAATGTACAAGAGAGGTGAAGAAGCTGCAGAAGAAAAGCTTCAAGCCGACAGACGCTCGTTCACGAGGTTTAAGGAGGAAGCCGTCTCTGCGACACAAACGTGCAGGTGGAGCAGCAGGCTCCCCGGGAGACGCAGCTCAGATCCCTCATGCACGTGACCACCACCGCCAGCCCTGCGCTGGGGGAAGACGCCGTCCAGGACCCTCACAGCTGCAGAGAAGTCGGCGCCCGGCTTCAGAGGGCAGGCTGGCTCCCGCAGGGGCTGAAACAGCCGGTGACTAACTTGAAGCCAGTGCGCCCTGACCATTCCGAAAACCCTAGGGCGCTTAAGAATGACACTGAATCCACCCTGCCTGTGCTCTGTTAGTGGGAGAACAAAACCTGCCGGCAGCGCACCTGCTGACAACATGGTTTACTGGATATTTTAAGCCCACTGCTGAGACCTACTGCTCAGAAAAAAAGATTCCTTTCAAAATATTGCTGCTCACTGACAAGGCACCGGATCACCTAGGAGCTCTGATGGAGACGTTCAGTCCTGCTTGGACAACATCCATCTGCAGCCTGTGGGTCAAGGAGTCACTTCAACTTTCAAGTCTTACTATTTAAGAAATACATTTTGTAAGGCTGTGGCTGCCATAGACAGTGATTCCTCCGATGGATCTGGGCAAAGCCAACTGAAAACCTCCAGGAAAGGAGTCACCATTCTAGACGCCACGCAGAACTTCCACAATTCACGGGAAGAGGTCACAACATCCGCGTTAGCAGGAGTCTGGGAGAAGCTGGTTCCAGCCCTCACGGATGACTTTGAGGGGCTCAAGACTTCAGAGGAGGAACTCACTGCAGATGTGGTGCAAACAGCAAGAGAACTAGAATCAGACGTGGAGCCTGACGCTGGGGCTGGACTGCAGCAATCTCAGGGTAAGACGTTCACGGGTGAGGAGCTGCTGCTTACGGATGAGCCAAGAAAGTGGTTTCTTGACATGGAATCTACTCCTGGTCAAGGTGCTGTGCAGACTGTTGAAGTGTCAACAAAGGATTCAGAGAAGTCCATAGACTCAGCTGACAAAGCAGTGGCAGGGTTTGAGAGGAGTTACTCCAACTTCGAAAGAAGTTCTGCTGTGGGTAAAATGCTGTCAAACAGCATTCACGCTACAGAGAAAGTGTTTGTAAAAGGAAGAATCGATTGGTGTGGCCAACTTCACTGTCTTAAGAAACTGTCAAGCTCCTGAGTAGGAAAAAAAACTGTCACAGCCACCCCAGCCCTCGGCAGCCGCCAACATGGAGGCCAGACGAGCCACACCTGCCGGAGACGCGCCAAGGGCATCTGTGAACTTCCAGCCTGAGAGAAGAGGGAGGGCCTCACAGGGCAGCGTGGCCTAGAAACGGCCAGTCGGTACCTTCAGTGCTTCCAGTTCACGCAGGAGCTCAGAGCTCACAAATTAGAAAGCTATGAACTGGGACCAGTCAGTGAAAAGAACAGCTTGGCTGAGGCCACCTGGAGGGCTTCCCTCCCAAGCTGCACTCGGCACGGTCTGGTATTAAGAGCCTGAGACTCAGAGCCGGGCCGGCGGCCTTGGCCAAGGCACAGCGCCCTACCGGGCGGTGGGGTCCTGTGACGGCGTGGGGAGACACCGGCCCCAGCCCACCGAGAAGGTTGGCCACTGCTGTCACCATCCCATCCCAAGGGGCAGCCTGGCTGGGAGCAAAGGGCCAAGTGCTGGCATCCCACCCCCGGCGCCCTGTGAGTGACGGAAAAGCCGCCTCTCTGGGCAGAGGAAGGGGCCGGCTCCCAGGGCCCCTGCTCTTACCCGCTGGCCGCGGCTCTGTCCTCGTCACTCTCGTACTCGGCCAGGACCAGCTCCTCCTCCTCAGAGTCCAGCTGCTCGGAGCCCATCCCCGCAGCCAGCATCTCCCTGCTCAGGTGGAGGAGACGCTCAGTCTCTTCATCTTCCTGTCTCTGTGGAGGCCCCCGGCCAGTGGGGACAGAGAAAGAAACCTCAGCACAGGTGTCCCCACCTCTGGGGCGCAGGCAGCCTCGGGTGGCCCCACTGAGGACAACACACACGCCATCCACATAGGGCACAGGCTTCACCGCTTCCTGGCGCCTTATGGGACTGGGGAGGCGGAGGCCCTGGTCACTCGCCCCGACAAGCTACCCCCACCCCCGAGGACCGACACGTGTGACATGGGCTGGACGGTCCTGGGGACGACGCTCACCGGGCGCTTGGCGGCGGACTTGAGCCAGGCGTGGTGCCGGCTCTGCTGCAGGCGCTCCTCTCGCTTCTTCCTCCGGACCTGCTCCTCCTGGGGGGGCAGCCAGACGGGAGGGAGGGTCTGTGGGAGCCCCAGACCAGGCCTCTCTTTTGGGGGGCGGGGAATTAGGTTTATTTATTTTCATGTATTTATTTTAGTGGAGGGACTGGGGACTGCACCTAGGACCTCGTGCATGCTAGGCACACGCTCTACCGCTGAGTGGTACCCTCCCTAAGCCAGACCTTTCTTGAAGAGCCAGGGGCTCAGTGCAGGGCCTCTTCGCACGGGCAGCTTCCCCTTCCCCGGCCAACCTCCCGGTGCTGCAGACCCTGGGCCCCAGGGCCCCCAGCCACGCTCATGGCAGGAAGTGTGCACTCCCTCCCAGAGCCACGGGCTCTCAACCACGTGCACCCCTGAATCCAGGCCACAGCCACTGAAGCACACAGCCACTGGCGACAGTCAGGTCCCCTTCCCAGGTGAGGAACTGTGACCCCTTGTCTAGAGAAGGCCTGTAGACTCCAGCTTAAACTCGGCCCGGGAGGCGGACGGAACACACGCCATCCAGCTCGGATCGACCTGATACCGTCACAGAGGCCCAACCACCGGGATCCCCCACCTCTAGTAACCCAGTCTCACTCTGAGTCGGTCCACCAGGTCCCTCTCTCCTTTCTTCTGCACAAACTGCGTGACCCAGTCGGGCTCCCCTGATGCCCCCGGGGTGCCTGGGGTCTCCTGGCAGGACGACGGTGACGGGAGGTGTGGGGACTGGTCCTCCCCGTCGTTTAAGGGGGCGGCTCCGGCCTCAAGAATACGAGCCTCCTCTTGGCGTTTCTTCCGTTCAAAGTCTCGGAGCCAGGAGAGGGCCCCGCAGATAAGACTTAAGGACTTGCCCTACGGGAAGAGAAGTGCCCTCAGAGAAAGCGCCCCAGACCACCTTCCCCACTCTGTTTAAAGCCTTCAAGGACGGCCTGACTAAATACCAGCCCTGGAGAGGAGAGGATGGGGGGGCAGAACCGGTGGGAAACACAGGACAAGGGGAGAAGTGCAGAGAAAGTCTTCAGTCTTACGGCGCACTGTTCCCGGAGGACGGGAAGTGGCTTATCCAGTTACATGTAAGTACTGCAAGTTACCACAATTAGAATGGGGAAATCTGAAAATAGTCCAGGAAAGGAATCGAGGCCAAAAGCCCGCACAGCATGAAGTCCCACACCCGCCCTGGCTGGCGGCACCGCACCGGCTCTAACTTGCATTCAGCGTCGTCGCCCCGGAGTCCCGTGTTCAGAGGTTTTTAAAGCAAACCAATTACTCTGGAGAACACAACTCCTCACTTAAAGACCAGAAGTTTCCGTTGGTCCTTGTGATGGGTTGAACTGTGTCCCCCCCCCCCAATTCATGTGTGAAAGCCGCGACCCCCAGTGTCTCCTCACGTGACCTTATTGGGAAGTCCGGTCAGTGCAGGTGCATTTAGTCAAGATGAGGGGGCCCGACCCGCTAGGACAGGTGTCCTTATAAAACGGGGAGATTTGGACACACAGACAAGGCAGACGGATGATGTGAAGACGCGTGAGGAGGGGCGTGCAGTTTACGGGCTGCAGACAGGTTGTGTTCGACAATTTAATTCAGATAAACAACTACGACGCAGAAAGACCACCAGGGAGAACCACTCTGCTCACTTCAAGCTGCGAGGCCTCCGCCGGTGGCCGCGGACAGGCTCTCTCCGTCCCCCAGACCCTCCCCAGGCCCGACCTCTTATACTCACGGTGCCCGTGGGGCTCTCGAATATCCCGACCTTGCCAGCCTCCAGCACCTGGTACAGCGCTGCCATGAAGTCCTTCTGGATGGAATAGGGTGTGAAGGGAAAAGGGAAGTGGACGCCACCAGCCTCCTGGGTTTTGTCAGCCATGGGCCTGGGGGAGGAAACCGGGGCGCTGTGAGCCAGCCCCGCATGCTGGCCCGACGCCCCGACGCGGGAACAGCCCCTAGGGGTGGTCCCTGCTCGCGGGGGACTTTCTCCCTCCGGCGCACACTTTCCTGAGCGGAGACCACGCTCCCTCACGCACCCCCCAGGAAGCCTCTCCAGAAGTGTGAGGGCCACCGGCGACACCGACCCGGACCGGGGC